ACAACGACCCTTTCCTCGAGGGTTCCACAATTTCAGTGTACCATCATTGTGTCTTGATCAATGCAGTAACCCACAGGTTACATGATCGTTTTTTCAATATTGAGGTTGAAGAAGACAGCGGGACTACTACAAATTTTATCTTAGTGTATTTTAAAACTCGAGGACGAGCTTACTCCAACCAGAGGAGAATGATGCATATCAAATTTTTGTGGCTACAAATTTAAATTTTATTTTTTATTAAATTTATTTTTAGAGATTGAGGAGACTTTTTATTTATTTTATTATGATCAACTTTTAGAAATAAGATTAATAGGGATTTTTGGGCTTAGTTTGATAAGTTTTTTCTATAAGTCTGTTTTTATGTATGAGTAATGATCCTATATGACCCTCCCCTACCCATGTGTGTAGGACCCTAAATTATCACCATTAAAGTTGATACGGATCTCTAGAAAAGTTATCACATGGTTGTGAGACTTGATTTTTCTAGATCCGTGCCAAATTTAATGATAATCCGTTGGGGTCCTACACACATGAGTGAGAAACGGTCCTATAGGATCATTTCTCTTCATGTATATATTGGATTTAGGTATGGTTGTCTTCTAGATAAGACCCATACTTTTAAGATCAACGTCAAAAAAAAGTTTTAGTAAGAAGTGTTTTGTTTTTTGGAGGCAAAATCATTTAGATATTTCTTTTAGAGATGAAGAGAGAGTTTGCTTTAATAAATAGATTTGTCTTATATTTGTTTTAACTAGTTATCATTTTGGTTATTTAGTAAGGGATATTTTAGGATATTTTATGACAAAGTTGTTATTTTTTAGTTATAAAAAGGAAATGCCGCATTTGTGAAGGGTAACGTGGGTAGGAGTTGAATTAGGTGGGAATAGGTAATAGTTGTTTGTAGTTATCTTCTTTTATTAGGTATCTTTAGTTTTGTAGATTTAGTTTTGTAGAATCAAAACTCCTTTAAAAAGAGAATGTAAGTTGTAATGGAGGAGAGGGAATTTTGATTGATAAAGAAAGTGTTTTTTTTTGGAGAGAGAGATACCTTTTGTGGGTGTTGTTTTTCTCTTGTGTTTTATGGGATCGTGATGTGATATCGTATCCGTCATTGCTGCTGAAAGGCCCGACGTCCGCCCTTTGCTGCTGAAAATCGACCTCACTATTATGCATGAGAAAGCCTCGGCCTCCGCCTCCGCCATTTGCTGTTGAAAATCAACGTTGCCATTGATGCTGAAAATGATTGACCTCGCCATTGCTGCTAAAAATCGGCCTCGCCATTGCTGCCGAAAATCATTGACCTCGCAATTGCTAATCAAAATCATTGACCTCGCCAATGCTGTTAAAAATCGACCTCCCCAATGCTCTCTTACCTCTTTCTCTCTAGAGCTTGTGCATGTGAGTGTATAGAAACCAATTCTCTTGATTTAGATTACAATGTAGGAATAAACAAGCCAATTCACCTTGAAAATTTTCAATATACTTTGAAAGTATAATATATAAAACAAATTACACCAAGGTCACTGTAACCATAGTGAGCTATTAACGTTCAAATATACTCATTTGAGAGGATACAACTCAATTGCGGTCCCTTGCATATAAACAAGATAAGTAAAAAAGGATACCATCAAACTAAACATGTATAATATAAATTTGAAAAATTACACTACTCAAACTTACAAAGCAAAATATATATCAATGAACTAATAAAAACTCATCACAACATGATCTCCATTATATTAATATACATATTCTTAAGTGTGCGAAGCAACATGACCAAGGGAAGCCAATCGGAGCTCTCGGGTGCTCGGTTTATGGCCTTGGGTCTTATCTATGTGCTATTTATTGGGCGACATGCGATGATATATCTCAAAATCGGATGAATTCATCATCTAATTAAGTGAGAAGCCAAACATCCACTGATACACACTTAGACATGAAAGGATTTGTAGAGATCTAGATATCAAATCGAGTGGAGAAATCATGGGAGAAAATCTGGATCTTAAAACACAAAACCGGTTCAATTGAGTTCACAATCTGGCATATAAAAATTCGGCATAGTCTCTCTTTGTAAAATCATCAATTCAAGGGATCAAGAAGAATGTTCAAGTGGCTGATATGTTCATAAAAATCTCAAAGAAATATCAATCGAAATATTCCAAAATCTAAGTAGGAAATTTCATAGAATACTATGTCAAAATGTGCATGGATGAAGCCTTTAACTCTATGGATAAAGAGGTATCAATAATCAATCAAGGGATCAATAATCTAATAATCAAGAGATAAAGAAATGCTGCTGTAATTGAGAATTTACAACATGAACAAAGGAAATCAATGAAAATACAATTGATCTTTTACTTAATTGTTGAAGACTTGGAGACTAGATCATCCATAGCTTGAATTTTGAGCTTTGGATCACTATTAATAGAGTGGAATGAAACCTTCAATTGATTTCTTTTCTCACCACAAGATCTTATATCTGCTTGATTTGAACCAGTTTTGGGGTTTAGGATTTTATATTTAGAGCTGAAAATAGATTTTCAAGCCATCCTAAGAATTCTTTATATCAAAATTATATTTATAATAAAATTTGGAGGTGCATATTAATTTGATTGTTTAAAGGTCGCAATCTTATACAAAACACACTCTTCGTATAAAGAGGGATTTTGGGCACCGGGCATGGAACATTTATTTGGTCCCATTACAAGTTATTCCGAAAGAAATAATGTAAAGTTCGACTTTTTTTATTCTGGTGCAGCAGAATTTGGAAACATAATAAAGTTTGAGATGAACTCGTCATGGAAAGCTTAATGTATGCATTGATTAAAACCCCTTTTGCTGACCGTCTCTCTTGTCATCCATTTCATCCCTCATCTGTCCATCTCATTACCAAAGCGACCTTTTTCTTTTTCCTTAACATAAATATATAATTTCATTGATGAATCCAAAAAGATCCCTATACTTGATTGGGGTGCAAATCACAAGACAACAAATTTCGGTTTCAAAAAGTTTGCTGCATTTTACTAGAAAAGTTACCTCGACTTCATTTCACTAGCAAAGTTACTTCATTTCTACTTGGCTGAGTTACTCGTGCTCGGGCCCTTTCTGAGCCCGAGTTGTCTTGAGTTTGACGTCCAACTTGAGAATCTTAAAAAAAAGAATTACAAAAATTATCAAAAATCCAGAAAAACCAAGAAATATAATTTTAACATCTTTATATATGTTTTCTATCATTTTTGGCAAAGATTGGAACTATTTTAGTGATGAAGACTTATTTTTGCTTTCCCATTGAAAATTTTTAAAAAATACCCCTGGTCACAACTCATTTTTTAAAATCTATTTTTTTGCTACCTTTTAACGTCATTTTTTAAAATCTATTTTTTTGCTACTTTTTAACCATAATTATTTGTGTTATGTTAAATTTTATTTTCAATATATTTTTTCTATTTTTTGGAATTTTTTATATATATTTTTAATAATTTTCAGGTGCTACGGTGCTCGGCCCTATTCAGGTGGAGTTACTCGGACTCGGGTGACTACTCGACTGGGGGTATGGACAAAATAGTTGGCTGGGGGTGTTATTCCAATGACTTATCATGTTGAAACCAAAGTCTAATCATGCATGTGACTCCATGTAAGTGCCAAAGGCATGCAAAATAAGTAGGAAATTGTGTGATTATGACTTAAAAATGGTACAAGTTATTTTTAAAAATCTTTTTGGAATGGTGATTATGTTATTATTAGAAAATCTTTTTAGAATGGTGTGATGACGACTTTAATTCTGCATTTCAATAGAATTTTGTAACAAAAAAAAAAGAAATGATAGTTTATAAGCAAGTGCTGGTAAAATGTTGGTAATACATTTCCCATATTTCTTCTAGACATAGCCAACTAGTAGCAATGTATTTCCCAGATTGCATCTAAATACTACCCAAGCAGTAACAATTCATTTGCAGTTAATGTATTACACAGTAATGTATTACACCAGTAATATATTTTACTGGCAACATATTTTCAAGTACCCAAACAACCCTTTAAGGTAGTATTTAATCTAATGTTAAAAAAAAAATATTAATGTTCAAATAAAAGGGTAGTGTTGAATCTCGTCATACCCGAAATCAAAGCTCACCGGATTTTATGATTTCCAATGCACCAATCGATCACATTGGCAACACCACCCCTTATAATTACTGTGTTTTGGGAGGGAACCATTGCTGTCCTTGTTTGATGTTACTAAATATTAACTCAGCCTTGGGAAGGACAAGAGAGCGATCCCATGCTCGTCACAAATTAAACATCCGATACTCACATGGTTAGGATTGCCCCTAGAACTTCTATCAAAGTTTAACTAATACTCACATGGTTAGGATTACCTCTAGAACTTCTATCAAAGTTTAACTGTTCAAAACTGTGGGGAGAGCGAAGCTGGAGTAAAATCTTGGCACAAAGATGAGCTACATGTTTGACTTCTACAAGCCTTTTCCTTGGGTACTCCTTTAGAATGGGCGCCAAAAGTATAACACCTTCAAGTGCCTTACCATTCCTTTTCTTCCAGAGAGAGAGTCCTAGGGCTGTGGCTACTTTATCTTCTCTTAAATCAAATAGAATGGATGCTGTTTGGACAGCACCACCTGCTAATGCATACAAACTGAATTTTGATGGAAGCACTTTTGAAAACCCAGAGCAACTGGTTTTGGTGGACTAATAAGAGAACATATGAGGCATGCTATTTGATCATATTTTGGCCCTTGTGGTCTTAATACAGTTTATAAAGCTGAAGCTAGAGGCATTTTGGAAGGCATTAAGCTCTTGTCAAGATTTGCAAGAGCAGAGATTATGGAAGGGGATTCAGCAAACATTATAGCTTGAAGTATAGGCAAAGCTAATGTTCTATGGAGGCTGACTATAACATTTCATGAGATATGAAATATTCTTAAAACAATAATCGTTGAAATCCACCATTGCCACCGGGAGGCTAATGCCGAAGCAGATTGTCTTGCTAAAGAAGAAATACACCAATCTTCGTTGGTGATTATTTCCTTCCAATGAGTCTGTATCTTGTAACTTATTTTCTTTTAATGAAAATTCTTTGGTAATGTTCAAAGAGAGAGAGAGAGAGAGAGAGATCCCGTGCCCCGCTGTTCCTTACCATCTCGAGCTGGAATGGGAGTAACAAGTCGATGTCGAAAGGCCAACACAATAAATAATGGAAAGGGATGGGAAAAGACCAAGATTAACATCTGTTTCCTCTCTTGATTTTCTTCACACTGCTGAGTATCACGGTTCGTAAGTATTCATGCACTGTTGAGCAAAGATTGGGATTGTGCTATTTCCAAGAGTATCAGTTGAGGGTTCGCACTGATTCAAAAAAAATGATTATCAGATGAAGGCAAAATGGCCCTTCTAGAAAAATGGATTGAATAGATGTTTGACGATATTTAAGAATGGGAGAGAGATTATATAAGGTTGACACCTTAAAATCTACAATTAAGGTGCACCTAAAAAATCAATAAAAGCAGTGTCCAGTAAAGACTTTGAAACAAATGAATTCCTACAGCCACATCAACATATCGTCAGACTTCTCACTGAAGTTAAAATATGAGAAGTTGATTTTGGTATGCTTTTCAACTTAATTTTGTTCTTTCCTTGGAGACTACAAGATCATCATCCCAATTTCGATGTTTGCAATGTCCAGCAGTGGAGCAATCACAACATATTGCCAAACTCCATGACTAGTATGCGACCAAAACAAGAAAAAAAGGTCATGATTAGTAGTTCATCTAAACTCACCTTCTATTTTTAAGTTCTCAACTTGAGAGCTCTAGAGATTTTTTTTATATTTATTTTTTGGGCACATGTACTATGCTCTTGCAAAAGCAAATTTTATGTGTTCCCTCCAGGAAAAGACCTACGCAGACGGTTTTTGATGACATGAAATTTTAGGATCCCCGTTAAAATCATCAGATGAGTAATTATAAAAAAAAAAAGGTTCAACAACAAGATATGAGACCATCCAAAAAACATTATATGTGTTCAATCTTATGGTGTGATTCTTTTTAAGCACTTCTATAGTGTGCAATCTGCCTGTATTTGTTCCATATTGGTTGCTAGGTTGAATAGGTTGCAGCCTCAAAATTTAGGGTCCTAGAACTACTCCTAGCTAGGGTTTTGGCAGAGGATGCCTATGTACAATTTGCTCTTACAATAACATATAATCTATTCGCTAAATGAATACATCCCTTGTGCACAAAACATGCAACATGAAAATAAATGTTCAGATATCCATATGTTCAAAGTTTGGAAGGTATTACCTTCCTATCCTTGAACTCCCATGTCTAAATTCTCAATATATGTTCCTGTAGTACCAACATGTTTTTGCCGTGTCAATAAGTGTGCCGAGTCATCATGGTTCCTGTAGTTAACATGGCTACCAACATGTTTTTGGCGCGTCAACAAGTGTGCCCAAGTCATCATGGTGCCGATACATGCACAAAAAATGGGTTTGGCAATGCCCCGATAGTAACATACGTATCCGATGTGTTTTGGGTGTGTCGACAAGAATGTCTGCTACCAAAACAAAAAAATAAAATGTGTGTCCAAGTTACATAACCAATAACCACTGGGGAAGTGCACATAGAAAAAATGAATTAATTGAAAGAGTAACATGGTTCGCAGTTCACAACAAATTGAATTTTACCAGAACGAAGCTCATTGTCCAATAGAATAAATAAATGTTTTCAGATACTCAAAATGGAAAAAAGAACCATATCATGTAGGTGGATGAGGGTTTTCTGGTGGCTGCTGTTCTTGGGGAGTTGATCCAAAGTCCATAGTTGGGTAAACACCAGGGGGTCTTTCACGGGGCTGGATGGACAACAATTGGGTCGAATCACCCACAGCATCAGCCCATCCATAATGAGGCTCAGCCCTTGCATCACATATTCAGAAGATATATCAGTATGACATAAAAGTACGACAACTCAAATTTCACCAATTTCTTAAGGCTTACTCGTAGTGGGTTTCTTCATCAACAACGATATCCCAGCTTTCTCCTGTCGTGCTTCTCCCATACTTATGGACTTTCCTAAATAAAATATATTAAATAGTGGTAAGACAGGCATTGCAGCAAAGTAGAGAATTACAAATAAACTTTAGTCCAATAAGAAGAAAAAAGGAGCAGCCAGAAAAAAGAAGCAACAAGTAGGGATTCAAAAACATACTATCAAAGGTAAATAAAAGCTATCAAAAGTAAGGTCAGAGATAGCAGGTTCACAATAAAGTGATGCAGCTTAAGAAGCCATAGACATTTATAATAGGTTGGTTTGAAAGGAGGAAGAACCAGACCTCCAGCAGAGCATGATCTTACAAGGTAAATGTGATTAATTCCAGGGCGATATTAAGAGATGACTACAGAATTTGACAAGAATCAGTAATTTCTTAAAAAGTGGCCAGAGCATTGGAAGCATCACTAAGGTGCTTATTGAAAGCATCCATTTTTGGTCATGATATAGATTCAGCAAAAGACAATCAATATCTGCGTTGGAGCATGCACATTTAGTCGATGTTGTGAATAATGGACCTAAAGGAGAGAGAGAGAGAGAGAGAGAGAGAGAGAGAAGCAGCTTAGACAATTGCTTACCAGGTGTGTACCCAAGTTTGTTGCACTGCAATACTAGACACAGCAAAAGAGCTGATTACCTATGTTGTTGGTTCACAACACTCTGCATCATCTAAGTTCTACTCAAAATGTTTGAGGCAGATATTGATTCAGCACTGTGATAGAGTGATAAGTTTACCAAATCCATCTGTATATTGATTCCTATTCCAATTTATTGTATTAAATTAAAGGGCTATGTTATGGTGCTCACACTATGGAATAATTTATCATTGTACTCGACAAAATTTGGATACATATATACCCTTGTTTTGTATACGGAGCTTAAGTAATGAAGTTTTGGTAATTAGGAGGGGTGTGACGTTATCTACATGGGGGTGACATCACCTATATGGAGCATTAAATGCTACTAGTGTGCTCTATGTGGGTGATGTCACACCCCATGTGGATGATGTCACACCCCTCCTAATGACCAAAAATGCCCTTATTAAAAAAATACGCTACATACAAAAACAAGGGTATAGAAGTATCCAAGATTGCCGAGTACAATGCTAAATTACTCCATAGTGAGAGCACCCTAACATAACCCTAAATTAAATTACTATTCTTAATAACGACTGACAATGTTCATTAACAAAATGGAATTACAGTCTTCAGAAAATGCAAATATTGAATAAATTAAAGTCATGTTCCCCAATATGGCTTGTAAACTAGATGAAAACATTCAGATAAGCTTAATAGTGTTACATAATTGATTTAATAATGCATTTTAAACACTGCCTCAAACAATAATATTCATATATACATAAGCCCAAAGAGAAGTACAGGGTAAGCTAAATTTGATATTTCAAACAAGCACCACATATTGATATTGACAAATAACAAGTGCAGCATAATCCCACTTACGTACCCATTTCCAAAATGTTCTTCACCCCAAGTCCTCGACCAACCTATCAAAGCGGAAAACAAGTTAACAAATAGAAAGACTCTTAGGTTATGTCTAATTTGTCGAGTCAAAATGCTATGTGTATGCTAATAGAAAAAATGAAGCCTTTTCCACTCCAAGCTTCTCTTAAGAAATCAAACCGAAGAAAACACCATATATCATGAAGAAATATGCCAAAGTTTTACTTTTAAAGTGTTCACTTTTGCATTGCTAAAGAAAGAGAGGAGTGCAAAAAATGTGCCACCCGCCATGCTGGTGAATGTATATGAAAACCCACTACACGGTCACCCAAAAAATGCTCTACAAGCAAAATTACAAATAGGCATTTAGAGCTCAAAAAGTTGCTCGAGATGAGGCGCCTTCCTTAGCAAGGGCGTCGGCTGTGTTGTTGGCCTCCCTCCAAATATGCCGAAATACTATGGAGATAGCTCTGCAGAGGTGAGAGATTTCGTCAAAGATGGAATAAGTCTCCAGGGAGGTGAAGAAGATCCAGAAGCCTAGGCTAAGGCGTTATGGGAGTTGCCTCGATAATTAAAGAGTTGCTCCACAAAGGGTCAAATCTGCGGAGGCCCACAAGAAGGGAAAGAGCTTTTGCAACAGTAGAGTTGCTAAGGTGAGGATAAGAAGAAGAAGAGGATGGTATTGCCGTTGGAGTCTTTGAAGATTCCTCCAATGCCGATTAGGCCAGGGTTTTCGAGAGAGCAGTCATAGAAGTTGAGCTTCACTAGACCCAGCTCGGGTGGTCTCCATAAGGATGACTAAGAGACCCTTGCTGGTTTAAGAGTCAACAGAGCTTTCCAGTTAAGGTGGAAGTCCAAAGGGGAAAGGTGCCAAAAAAGCTTGTGGTTTTTTGCCTAAAAGATGACCAGGGATGTCGCCTTGTGAAACAGTGCCTAGACAGTAGAAGATTCACTTATGAAAATCCAGCTATTTCGCTCCAGCCAAATCACCCAGAGAGTTGCTACTACCAAGGCAGCCAAAGGTAGATGCTCTGCTTGGTCCAGGGAGGTATAGAGGAGATGCGGAATGGAAGAAGGGTTCACCCTCACCCATCCAAAAATTTGGAGCAACAAACCCCAGAGGGCATGTGCAACTCAGCAATGCAGGAAAAGATGTGAATTGGTTTCCTCCTCCTCCAAGCATAAGGAGCATCTACTGGGTAGTTGGTGGCCCCTTCTTTGTTGCTAGTCAACTGTGAGGGCTCGTTCCGAGAAGAATATCCAACAAAAAAATTGGATTTTAGGGGGGGATGAGAGGGAACCACATGCTGGATACAAGAGAAGTGTTGTGCAGAAGCGACGAAGGTGGTTGGAGGGTTTTGTAGAAGGAGGCTCCCGAAAAAACTGCCTGAGGCATCAGGAGACCATATGGGTAGCCCAAAACCTTGAGGAAAAAGGAAGAAAGAATGAAGCATAAAGGAGAGAGCAAAGAAATTGGGGATCTCGGGGATCCAAGAGAGGCCTCTTAAAACAGGGATTCCAAACACTTTTGTCACCCAAAAGTTGGAAACTATTAGCCAATGAGCCCATAAGCAATGAAGTCCCTCAAAAAAGGTGGGGAAATCTATCTTTGAGAGGGGTATGGCCTATCCATGGGTGGAATTAAAAAGGATCCGAAGGACAAGGCTGGGGTGAAAGCAAAGGTTAAGGAGAAAGCAGGAAGGCAGCTAAGCATAAAGCGCCAAGCCCCTGAAAGGTGAGGGCCAGCTCTCACAGTGGGGAACCAATCATTATCAGCAACACGATACTTGAGGTGCATGACTGCCAACCAGAGATACTTGTCTTGGGTAGCAAAGTGCCACCGCCACTTGCTTAGGAGGGTTTGGTTGTTGAGCTTCAAGTTGCGTATGCCCAAGCCTCAAAGGGATTTGGGGGTGAAAATTTTGGCCCAAGAAATGAGGTGGTATTTGTTGTCCCCTTCACTAGACCATAGAAACTTACGCATGAGTTGCTCAAGGTGGTGAGCGACTAAGGTTGGCATTTGGAATAAGGACATATGTATGCTAGGGATGGTGGCAAGAGATGTTTTAATAAGGGTGAGGTGGCCAGTTAGGGAGAGTTATCTACCCTTCCACCCTGCAAGGCGAGGATCAAATTTATCGAGGATGCGACTCAACTGAGCGGCTTTGGGTTTGCCTATACAAAGGGGTAGGCCATGGTAGGTAGAGGGCAAGGCTTCGATCTTACACCCTAGATATCTGCAAGGGCAAGAAGGGTCTAGGGTTGGTGAGCAATCCCCATAAGCTTGGTTTTGTCCAAGTTTGCCCCGAAGCCAGTGCCAAATTCAAAACATTTAAGAGCTTCAGGTTATGGATTTGAGAGGGGCCCGCGTCACAAAACAGTAGGGGTGTCAACTGCGTATTGGAGGTGGAAAACTACCGGTCCACCCCTCTCCACCTCAAAACCTTTAAGAAGGCCAACACTATATAAACCCGAGAACGACTGGCTGAAAACTTCTATGGTGATGGAAAAAAGGCAAGGCACCAAAGGAGAGCCATTAATAAAAACAGATAAGTGAATATTTGAAATGCACCTGAAGATCCACCTCCTCCACCATAGGCCAAAACCCATCCTTTACATGGCTTGGTCAAGGATGGGCCAATCGACATGATCATAGGTGTTTTCCTAGTCGATTTTAGTTATGATCCCCGAACCTTGGAAAGGTGATGCGAATGGATGCATTCGTGCGCCACAAGGGCTCCATCTAGTATTTGTCGGTCCTTCACAAAGGCCCCTTGGGATGTGGATATGACCCAATCAAAGGTGGCTCTCAGCCTAGTCGCCAGGACCTTAGATAACAGTTTATAGGAGCTGTTGATGAAGCTTATGGGGCAAAAGTCCTTGAGTTCTTCCATGCCTTCGATCTTGAGGATCAAGGCCATGAAAGTTGCATTCATGGCCCAACAATCCCCCTGTCATGGAATTCGTTGAACAAGTCAAGGCTGTCGAGACGAAAGATATCCAAGAAGTGTTTGAAAAAAATCGCCGAGTAGTTATCTGGGCCTAGCTCCAGGTCCTGGGCTAGGTCCTTAAGGGACGTGAGGATTTCGTCTTACGAAAAGGGTAGATCAAGCCAGGTGACCAGGTTGCAAAGGGGGTGGGTGGGTGGGTGGGGTGGGGTGGGGTGGTTTGAAGGGAAGAGAGGACATGGGGGGTCTAAGTCCTGCTGGGGAGGAGAAAAGGTTCTTGAAGAAACCAGTAATGGTATCCTCGATTTGGGAGCGTTGGTCAAGAATGAAGTTATCGACTTTAATTTGGGAGATGAAGTCATAACGCCTTCTGCAATTGGCAATAATATGAAAGAAAGCGGTGTTAGAGTCTCCCAACTTAAGCAATTTGATTCTAGATCTATGCTACTAGTACATTTCTTCCTTGCAAAGGATGCCTTGGTACTCGAGCTTAGCTTGGCTCCTCTGAACTACTTCTGCAAAATTGAGGGGGCGAAGTTCTTCCTGAGAATCTAGGGAGTGAATGGTATGCAAGAAGGAAGCTTTTTGTGTCCTGAAGTTACCAAGGTTTTGGTGAGCCCAATCCTTGAGAAGGGGTTTGAAGAGTTGGAGCTTTCTTTGTATGTGGAAACCCACTCAACCCTGGATTTGGAGAGGTTGCGACTGTTTATTTAGATAGGACAAAGGAGTTGAAAGATGATTCTTCCAACTAGACCATCTCGAACCTAAATGGCTTGGGCTGCTAGAGGGCGGCTAGGGTGTCAAGGAGGATGGGGCATTGACCTGAAATGGGTTTGGGAAGAGCAAGGGAATGAAACCCCAAGAAAGAAGTGCCTCAATCAGCCGAGATGAGAAAGCGGTCAAGTTTGGAAAGGGTTGGGGAGGCCAAGTGGTCAGAACAAGGGAGATTGACCCCATGAAGAGGTAGGTAGAGCAGATAATGACATTGAAGTCACTTTCGATGCACCAAGCAGGAGTAAGGAGAGAGGCCATGTGGTCTAGTTCAGACCAAAAGTTCTCTCGAAGAGGGGAAGTTGGGGCCATATACATCTGAGAATTTCCACAGGTGCCCATCTGAGACTCTAGAAAGGATATCGGTTACAGAGTATACTCCTATATGGAAGAGGGAGAGAGAGTAGACCGAAGGGTCCCACACTATCCAAATCCCACCCAAGGCTCTGTGCGCCTCGAGAGAGGCCCACTGTTAAGGCCAGCAACCCCAAACTTGCATGATCAAAGCGAGGTCTGGGGAGGGAAGTTTGGTTTCCATAAGTGCTAAAAGGGTGGGTGAGTGTTTCCTTGTAGAGGTCAAGGACTGAGGAGCATTTGAAACCCTCGACGAGTCCCCTAATGTTCTAGGCCATGAGCATCAGTTGGAATGAGTGGATGGGGGGTGGGTCCTTCTCGATGAATGTCGAGAGGACTCAGGAGCAACAGTGTCCCTGGTTGGGGGGGGGGGGGGGTAGTTCGGTCATAGTTGATAGATCTCAACAAGTTTTGAAGTGGTGACCTTTGGAACTTACTCTCATTTTAGTATCAGCATCGGCCTTCAAGAAGGCACGGAGAGCGCCATGAAATCAGTAGAAGTTGAACCCCATGACTTTGAGAACCTGGTGAAGATTTCCTTGTGCTCTGTCAAAGACTTCCACAAAAGAAGAGTCCACCAAGGTAGGGATGGAGCTCGATTGGTCAAAGAGAAGGGAGAAAGGGGAGGAGAGATTGTTTATGGAGAGGGGAGTGGCTAGAAAGCCCAAGGGCTAGGAGACAGACCAGGGATATAGGACCCAAGGGGAGAACGAGGAAGAAGGGGGGAAAGGGGCCATGTCGAAAAAGAGGGGGATGGGAAAAGAGGGTCTGAGCTGTGCAGGGGCACAAAGGAAAGCGAGGAGGTAACAATATCTCCCGAGAGAGGCCATTGGGTAGCAGGTGGCCCAGTAGGGGAAAAGGTTTTTTTGGGGGGGGGGGTGGATGGGGCAGGAGAGAGGGGTGGAAGGGGGTGAGAAGGAAATGAGAGGTAGAGGGCTAGTAGAGGCTATAGAAAAGGGTGAGAAAGTAATGAGGGGAGATAGAGGGGTAGCAAAGGAGGGGTCGCTTTGAGAGGAAGAAAGGAATTGAACGAGTGGAGAGAGAGGAGATGAGGTCAGGGAAGCTAGTGAGCAGGGGAAGGGGGAATTTGCCTAGGCAAATGGACGGTGAAACGAAGACATGGGGCCACATGGAGGGACAGTGGAGGAGAGATCGAGAAGTCAGAGGAGCGAGAGGAAGGGAAGAAAAGATGGAGAGGTCCACCAGAAGGACTTGCACGTCATTATGAGGGAGGGGGGAGATGCCAGGTGTCCAAAGAGGGGGGCCTGATCCATGTGAATGAGGGGGTGTGTTTTGGGTACGAGTTGAGGTATTGGGAACGGTTAGGGGGTTTGAATTTGGCATGCGAATGGGGGAGGCACATGTCAAGGAGGAGTCCTAAGGATGGGGCGTGTCTCGTTTCACATCATTGTCGAGGACATCGAATGGGTAGGAGGACCAAACCACAAGAAGAGGGTGGGCATGCAGATCACAAGGATGACAATGCGTCGGGACCAATGTGGTCGAGTGAGCCTCCATCGATGGCAAGAAACCCTGGTCTAGAGGTTTGCAGCTTGGGCAGAAGGAGACGGGGAGGAGGGTGAAGGATGCACCAAGGAAGGCGAGAAGAACCGAGTTGATGGAGGAGAAGCTGGGGTCCATGCCAATTTGACGAGGAAGAAAAGGTTGTTGGTATCTAGCCACAAGGACGAGGGGATGCGAAGGTGATTAATTGTCTCGATGAGTAGCCGGGTAAAACCCAGAGGAAGAGAGTAAGTGGAGAGCCAGTGGACAGAGATCAACCCCCACAGAAATTCCCCAGGAGCTTGAAGACTTCCATACGACAAGCATGTAAAGGGATGTTGAAGACTCTCAGCCCGACGCATTGTTTAGAGAAGGCCCCTAGGTCTCTGCTCCATTTGGACAAAGAGAGGGTGGCCCCTTTGAAGGAGTGTTGGGTATGAAGGAGGCTGAGGAAGCCGCTTGAGCCGAAGAGAAGAGAAAAGAAGGGAGCCATTAGATAACTTGCGTCAGCTGACGTTGGTGTTGTCCCATAGTTCTTGTCCCCATTTCTCTATACCCTTGAGGTCGTCCCGAGGAAGGGAAAAGGAATCTACCAAAGAGCACTCCAGCGAGGTTTGGCAAAGGGAGAGAACAGTGAGAGAGGTGGCTGAGGTGGGGCTCAAGAGAGGGTTCGGATTGGCTGGCCAAGGAGTATGGAAAATAGGAGGAGAGGAGGGAAGGGAGGAGGAAGGAAGGGAAGCGGAAGAGGGTGGGGTTGGGAAGGAGGGAGGCAGCACAGGTGAATGTAGTTCTGGTAGATAGGAGGTAGAGGGGGAACGCTGGGTTGAGGGCCTCTAGGCTGAGAGACTCTCATAGTCATAGGGAAGGATATGATATAGACCTCAAAAACCTTTTTATCCAAAGAAATATGCAAAAGTTCGAGATGTAGTTTGGCATTTAACGCTTCCATTATAAATTAAAACTACAATACTTGGTTTGGTCATAGCTAGTGATTGCAATAGTGTGTTTTTGCATGCGCACAACAATTCTAGAGATACAAGTAATGTCTTCAGCCTTGGGCCTAAGATCACAAGGATCATGATGCTAGGGACCGAGGATACAGTGCTTGTTTTACATAGAACCAAAAACAGGTATCAGTTTTAATACATGCAGGCATCAAGTACTTCAGGACCAAAACTCACTTTGGCTAGACATGTATGTACAGGTACTTTTTAGAAAATTAATAAACATATATTATATAAAAGTTCCAAAAGACAATGAAAAGAGAACAATGGAAAATGTAGCAAATAACAATGACAACAAAAGTTGTGCTAAATAAAACTAGTATGTAGTTATATTTTGTTCTTTTTTTTATTTTTAAAATAATGCTTTTTAAGAGACACCATTAACCAAAAAAAAATAAAAAATTCAACGATAGTTTAGAAATAACACTTTATATATAGTGGCAGACCCTTCACTCTGTCCGTGAGAAGTTGGAGAATTCAAATCCCACAAGGGATACTCTTTATTATATAAAAAAATATGTTACTATGCATTTAAATAGTCAACCCATCCGGAGATGTCTCAAAAGAACTCCAAAACAGTTAAGACACATAAACATCATGTGTCGGTACTGGCAACATAGTCCTCACTTCTAGAGTGTGGCACACAAAGTGTAATTGCAATATAGCAACTACGCAACAAACTTAGTTCAAATGAGCTGTGAGTTATCATATAATTTGAGCCCATATAAACTTCTGCACTGCTGCCAGTTTGTAGAAAGAAAAGGCTACTAGTCCGGAATTCATGTAAGAGTGCATGGGAGGATGATTATTTTAGACAACCTTTTGCGAATAACCTAGTCAGCATTTATTGGAAGTTAAAAGGAGAAAATAACATCAATTTTATACTAGTTTTCCTACTTTCATGTTAGGAATTTACCCATTTAGCCCCAACACTGTCCACCTATGAATGATTAATGAATTAGTGTAACCAATTTTGTTACTATAAACATTCCATATTTGGAAAAAACTAGGTATTCCACCAGTTAATGATAGAATCCACACCAATGGAGTGCAATATTATCAATCTTACATAATATAATATAAGCACCTTAGAAAAATGCGAGTATTAGTTAATTTAAAAACTCAAGGATCCGAATGATAAAAGAGATTAACTTACGATCGCCACTGGGAGATACATGCCATGTCTCCCCTTGTCGGGCACCAATTCCAGAGAAGAACTTCTCTTCCCACTTGTCACCCCACTTGGTCCCAAGTTCTGTTTCAGCCCATTTATCAGTCCTACAAAACAAATGAGCATCATAGAAACCTTCAAACTGAGTAAGAATAAGTAGAAAATCAACAGAGAACAAATGCAAAAAAAAAAAAGGAAAAAAATGATCCACAAAGATTATTGCACGTGCATCATATTATGGACACATGAACACACTGAAACAGCATGAGAAAGGTACAAAGAATTTTGATGAATTTGAGATATTGGCTTCATTTGTTTATATATGGAAATGTATAAGATGCCAATGTACAAGTTGATCATATATCTTTTGGGCATTTTTTCATAATAGAAGATAATTTATTAATTCCCTATGAAAAAAAAAAATGCACATTACAATCATTCCAAAACATCAGAGATGACTCAATTACTTTTGAAAAATCAAGCCTTGATCATTTTTGTGATAGAGGCTATCTATTATGTCCAAAACTTCAACAGGATTGCAACGAATGTTCATGGAAGGGCTCCTAGAGATATAAAGAATTCCAGAGGGAACTACAGAAAATTATGTTCTGTGGTGATCCGGAGGTTGCAGAGGAACTTAAATCTCACCAAGAGGTTTCCAGATCCTAGTAGATTCTCCAAGTCACTAACAGGTCTTGGGAAGTCATGCAACTGAAACTCGCGTCATAGGTTGCAAGAATGCTAGTTCAATGTTTTCAATATTTTTATTTAAGCTTGTGGGATGTTATTGGAACTTCATAGGAATTGGCACTGCTTAATGTGTCAACTGCTGCTCAAAAGGTCTCACAATATCATCCAAGACCACTAGATAGTCTCTAGGTAATTACTGCAAAATACAACTATGTAGAAATAGCAGTGCCTAACGTTATAGGGGAGACTTACGACACTGGTCTTGTACTTCTTGCCCTTCAAAATCAAGTTGTCACTAATGTAGGCTTGTCCTGTATGTTATCTCACTTTTACTACAAAGAGGATCATGGTGAATCCATTGACAACCAACACCACTAAAAATTCCTTTTTTCACCAATCTAGTAAATCTGCCCCTCACTCATAAAAATGCTTACATCATTCTACCCTTGCTCCAGTAAAGCAGATACTATTCAACATTGGACAGCATTAAGACATCCTTGCTCTCATTACCTTATAAGAATTCTATAAGGAAAACATATCGAGAATTGCTTTGAGAGCCAAATTTTTGGCCTGGCCATCCATGAGACCACATGTTCCGATTGAGATTAAAAATGCTCAGGCTGACATATACTTTTTATCTTGTTTGTCACTGTTCGTGCAATTCTTTAGATCCAACATAGAAGCAGATCTTTATAATTTGATTAAAGAGGCGCACAACGACATGAAAAAGAATGATTAAAATGGATCTATGGATTCTTCTAACTGAAAAGACTGTTTACAACTCCATGAATATTACTGGAAGGTCAGGAGTTCTAACAAGACTCTTGGACAATAAGAATATAAGCAATAGAACAGGTATAGGCACATGCCACACGAATGAAATATTACATGCATGAAACCTCTCCCTAAAGCACATAAGCAGTTATCTAGAGTCAATGACTTGCCTAAAAAAAATTGTATCTCCTTTCCAATGGTCTTAGTCAAAATATCTGCAATAAAAAATTAAAATGAGAGGGTTTCATGGAAAATATCGCTTCATTTATTTCTTACTTAAGTTTACCAACTAAAACATGCATTCCTCTCATAGAAAACTTTATGCATTATGGGTGATCTGACATTATAGTTATCATTCTGGTACAATACTTGAGTTGTAGATTACACTCGTACAGGAGGGCTTGCAACGGAATTAGTTCAGTCAGCATGGCATCCATAGCAGATAATTAACTTTGGAGCTTCATATGATAATATGTTCTTTTCAATGAGATAGTTTTCCACTTATAACTGTTTGTGAGCCTTGACTTTGTTATGTGCATGTAGATCATCACAGTCACCCTTTAGCAAAATAGCTATTTAATAAATTCTAGGTGCCAGGCTTATTCACTAACAGGAATTCCATTCTCCAAGTTAGGGATTTAAACTTGTTAAAAAGGTATCCAAGATATCTAGTGTTATTCAAACTCATCATGAGGCTCCAGTTTTAAAAAACCGAGCATCATTCTAAAGGTTTGGGTGAAGCTCAGAATAATGAGCATCTTATTTCTGATAACATACATGGTAGAACCTTGTTACAAAACTTGCAAGTAATTACAAACTTAGATATAGAAAAAAGCAATAAGCATCAAGGATGGTTGGCCTGCCTAAAACTTGTACAGAGGCTCAATGTAATGAAAGCTTATAGGAAAGTGAATTTTGCAGATCCCCGTAAAAGTGCTTGTTGAAGATGGGGAAAAATTTTGAGGTGCACAATTAACTTGTTAATATGTTTGACATTTGGGAGGGGATCTTTTGTTACAATAGAACCAGAAGTGATGTGGATTATTCAAGAATCAAATTTTGGTCTAAAACTTCTATAGAGGCTCAATGTAATGAAAGCTTAGAGGAAAATGCATTTTGCAGATCCCCGTAAAAGTGCTAGTTCAAGATGGGAAAAAACTTTGAGGTGCACCATTAACTTGTTAATATGTTTGACATTTGGGAGATTCAGCAATGCACCACATTCATATTGCTGCAGTACATGATAAACACCTAAAATCACAAAGAAGGAATCAAACCCATAAAATAGTTGCAATGATATCATACGCATAATAACTAATGTTGTCACTGGGTCAAGTAATTCCATGGTGAACTGAGCAAGGGCATTCAATCTAAAATACATACAAAATCCAGCATAAACAATCAGACATTAAGAAGACCAGTAGACTCGGTATCGCAAAGAGATAGTAATAAGTACTGGATGTCAAACATAATAAAACCTATGAAAATATATTTGTCACAATTTAAAATTGGCAGGACAATACATGAAATGAGCACATTTTACTCGCAGTCAGATTCTCTCTATCGGTAGAAGTCAAATATTGTAGTTCACCAACTATTTGCTATATCAGTAGAATTGAATAGAAAACCTAGTGTCTTTCTAAGCAAAATACGTAAAATGATTGCTCTCTTTCCATTTATATTGGTAAAACCTGAATGCTTGCACTCTAACTTATGATATACGACAGCCAAAGAAAGGTTATCTTTTTGTAGGAACAGTCATATTTGATAGAGAAAGCAATTACAATACCAAGAAAGTCAATGGTAGGACCCTAATGGTGTTTCACAATGCTTTTAATAAGGGATTTCACCTATGGATGCTCACTAGGAATTAAGGATCGCTAATTGTGAAGATCATATCCAAAAAATCTCAGGTCATGTTGAAATAGTAGCCATGTGGCTCAAGTATGAAGCTAAAAGAATCAAATAATGCTAGACACCAAATATAGCTTTAAAGGGGGTCAAAACACGCAAGCGGGACATATGGAGTCATGAATCGTTCTAGCTGCAGAGCCAGACTTGTTTAGCTTGATAACAATATTAAATTTTTGTTGACACTTTTTTAATGGGTATTCACAAATCACAAGCATGCCGACAATTCACATAACATGGTAGAGTAATGCAATCTTCATTAGATATTTTGTACGTGGATAACTATGAGCGGAGAGGTTTATAATTCCCTCTCAATAACAATAGTTTGGAGGACTCAAGTTCTCAACCCATGGAGATGGGGTCCATTCAAAAGTGGCTATGGCAGCACAAGGACCTGAAGGGAAATAAAAAACTTAGTGGTAGGATTACACCTAGCATTACGAAGAAGTTTCTTGAAGACCAAGCAAATCAAAGTCGAGGAATGTTTTCTAAGTAGGGTACAAATATGTTTCCTTCACCTCAGAAGAATAACTTTTCCCAAATATGTCACTTTTCACCTCAGGACTTTTCATTTGATGGATTCTAATTGTGTATCGAAGATCCTTCAATCATCTACAAAGGCTATCTCTAGCGATTTTTGACAATTCATCAAACATTCGTATAGTCATACAAATTCTGACGAACTTCAGGAGTAACTAGGGTTACTAGCATTATTGCTTACTCGGTTCTCAAGTTAAGGCTCAAGGTTTAGTTTGTCTATAAACATATCACTAATTGTGATTGAGGATAGAATTTTTCATTAAAATTAATAGATCCTTTGAGTTTTAGACTAATAAAGCCCCATTAATGATTGTTGCACTCTCCCCCTTTTGAGAATAATTTCTTTCCCTATCCGACACTCACTGCATCACTTCTATTGAGAGTGGGAGCACAAACATTAGCTTTTGGCATACAGAGGAAGAGACAGAAATTGTGCATGGTACAATGCTGCCTCCTAAAAGTCCCTTATATTATGCTATTGTGTGGGTTAAACCAACATGCAAAGCCAGGCAACTGTTCCCATCTTAGAACATGTAAAGAAACTTCTAAATAGAGGCAACGGCTAAATTTGGTATTAAAAAAACAGGAGATTTCTTTTTAACAATGATTCCTTTTAACGATGATAAAGAAGATTACACCAAGGCGCTCTAAACGAAACATACCACTAAGATGTGGATAGTAGAGAGAGAGAGAGAATGAGAGAGAGAGAGAGGAGAGAGAGCGAGAGCGAGAGAGAGAGAGAGAGAGAGAGAGAGAGAGAGAGAGAGGAGG